ACCTGGCATTCCACTTGGAAGACCTTGTGTTAAGAGGTATAAAGATTTTCATTTTTTTTAGATCGTTCATGGTTCAGCTATTTTTGTTTGTTTGAGTAATCCGCTATTCTGTCTGCTATTTAATCTGTTATTCAAAAACATGTCTTTGTGAAATATCTGGTGATGTTTGCAGCATGTAAGATGGGGTTTGAAGGATCTAGTACAGATGGTTTATAATGCCAATGTTAAAATTTAAAGTTTTATAATGTCAGTAACTTGCATTTGTTGTGTTCCCTTCCCAGTGTGAATCTTGGAGGGATTGTGGGCCCTATGGTGTGCTACTGCACTTGTTTTTTAATGTGTATGCTTGTTTGTGCATTATGCAATGTGAAGGAGAAATATTAGGGAGATTTTATTCCGAGATATGCAGCTTTTGTGTCAACAATTTTTGACGTCTTCAGACCTGTAAAGTGATACTAAACACACACTGCTTAATTTACATTGTCTTCTCTTTCTGTATGTGCATATTGGCTCTGTAATTATTATTTAAAAAAAAAAATCCAAGTATCTTTTTTTTTTTTTTTTTTTTCTTTTTCTTAATCAATATTCAGCTGGCACATGACCTAGCTCAAGAAACAGTGTTAGGAAGAGCCTCTAGTCCTCTGCTACTGGCACAAATATATATTCAAAATGAAATCCCTATTTATTGATAGTTTTTAATGATGTGGGTTTAACGACTCTTTAAAAGAGACCTCGGCATAAGTAACATGGTGTGGGCGGATTTCTGACAGTCACAGCTTATGTCACACCCCTCCAGCTGTGTCTTGGAATAATAGGGAGGTGAAGCCTCCATCAGTCAAGATGCATTATCCCACCCCTATTGTGTGTAGCTGATTAGGGAGCATAAAGGAGGAGGGAGGGAGTGGGCTGTCATTTCCCACTGTGTATACACCTACTTGTGTGACTTTATAGTCATATGGGCTGATCAAATGTGAGAGGGAGGAAATGCGCTGGGTAGTAACTGAGCATGTGCAGAGCTGCCAACATTGCTCTGCAAAATCCCCAATGCCAGTGTGCACATGGACAGAAAGGGGAGATAGAGACCAGCAGGATCAACCAGGTTTTTTGCAGAATACAGAAAACAAAACAAATCCCATAGTGACCGCAAGTATGAACAGCGTGTTAATACAGCATTTATTGATAGTTTTTAATGATGTGGGTTTAACGACTCTTTAAAAGAGACCTCGGCATAAGTGACATCATACACTTTTTTTTTCTTATAACATCAGCATTGCATAGCAATATAAATGATCATTCTTTTTGACGACAATCCACTATAATCTTACTTAAATAATATTGTTTTATGTTGTGAGTGTGACACGAGCAATACATATTCACAAGGCATTGTAAATGTGTCACTGCATTAAAGAACGTTAATGTGTGGAATTCTTGAAAAATTAAAGGATAAGTTCACCTTTTGGACATAAATAATGCACATTTTTTTTCAGGTAAAAAAAAATGTGCATTTATTATTTTTGTCCAAAGGAGCCTGTAAAGCATTGCCCCAGCGATCAGTAGATTGCTGATGCCATGCAGGTCTCCTGCAGACCTGTCAGAATATCTGCTTGCCGTACGGTGAAGCAGTTATTCTGACAGGAAGCTTGAATGAACTACCACGGTTCTGTAGTTAATTGAAAACTACATGCCCACAGCCGGTAAGGCTGGTGGGACTTATAGGCACTTATTCACAGTACTCCGTGAATGAGTGATGCTGGTGTGTGGGCAGAGCCACGCACGGTCACACGGCTTTCAAATATGACAGTATGGGGAAGCTTCTCCCCGCACTATCTGTCTGAAGGGGGGGCAGCTGCGGCTATTGGAACATGTTACATGTTCCACCCTACAATCGGGTGGAACATGTAATCTGTTCCCAACTGTGAACTTATCCTTTTAAGTTTTCAAACAAAGTTGTGCAATCAAAAGGGGTAGGCTAGGAAAAAAATTTAAACATATTTGATGGGGTACTGTTGAGCAGAATTTTTCAACCAGGTTGCCCAGGCATCCTGGGAGGCCTTCAGTTTTCTGTAAAGGTGCCTTAGCAAAATGTCTGCATATTGCCCACAAATTGTATATAAGCCAGTTGGTGGATCAAGCCTACTGTTGAGTTACAGGTTTTCATTGTGCATCATTGCAGCCTTCTAGTTGCCAGCGTCCTAACAACCAATGATGCCATTGGTTGATAAGGAGGACGTCTGACACCTGTAAAGCATTCTTGTTTGCCCATTCTCTGCCCCTCTCCATCAGCACTGGGGTCACATTGGCTAAGTGAGGGAGAAGAGAAACATTATAATTTTTAGTCCGTACCAGGGTGGATAAAAATCAATGATTTTTTTTTATTTAAATCTGATTTTTTTTTAATAAAAAAATGCTTTTTGAGGAAAATATATTACCATCCAAAGGTTATTCCATCATGAAATAAAGATTTGTTTTTTAATTATGTAGAATAAGGCTGTATATGTTTAATTTGTTTGGTAAATAAATTCCATGAATCCATTCACAATGTCATACTCTTCCAGAGGTTTTTGTAAGATTATTGGGCAGTTTCTCTGCCTACAAGATATTATCACAGATGCTTGGTTTACTTTTGCAGTTCTCAAAACTGAATTTGACTCAGCAGAGATCACATGCCTCTTCTTCACAGCAAAAATGTTATAATATGAACAGAGTTAAGAAAAAGACCTTCATCCTAACTTCTACAAACCTATGAATACAGAATCAACCCCTTCAGTGCTAAGTTTCAAGAAGTTCAGTGAATAGAATAGAAACACTATTTTTGATTGTTTGGAGTGGAATAGATCTGCACAAGAAGAAAGTGAAACTAAGTGTGAGGAGGAAGGGGCTGACAGTCTAAGTTTCTTCAAATATATATATTTTGTTTAGCCAAATTAGTTAACCAACATGGATGTTTGTTTAAGCAAATAACATATGCTGTAATGTTATTGTTTCAGTTGTATAAATCTATTTAAATTGTTATTATTAAGGTAATGATTATTTTTATATATATTTTTCTCCTTCCTAAGTACAACAGAAAAGTTGTCCAAATATGAATGATTAACCTATTAAACTGGGGATAAAAAAACTAATATGAAAAGTTGTTATTCTAAAAATCTTCAACTACTTGCATATTAAAGTTATACCAGCAAGAATTAGTCTATGTAGAAAACTAGGATTTAAATCAAGCCTTACTGACTAGTGATTTAAATCAAATCCACCCTGGTCCGTACCAATGTACAAAGTGGTCTTTGCTTTGGAAGAATAAATCCCCTTTAATGTTGGGTGTACTACGTATATAGATGTTGCTGCATTATGTAAAACTATTAGGTTTTTTTTTTTGCACTTTTAGATTGGTAGAATGGGGTAACTCCAAGATTTGTGCATAATTTTAAAGGGTGTCTTGACTGGAAAAAAAGGTTGAGAAATACTTGGTGTTCCAAATCAATGGCAAATACAGGGGACCCCAGAAAACAGCATGCTGATACTTTGAAACACAATATAATAATTTTTAAGCCTATTGACGGTTTTATTATATCCATACTACGTAATGCCCTTGCAGCCCAGCTTATCTGATTGTGGTGACTGTGTGATCCATGGTTGAAGGAAAGAAAATTGAATAATGTATGGCTTGCTTAAGACTATTCAGCATTCGATGCTTGTGGGAACATTGCATGCCAAGAGGCTGTCACTCAAACTCTTGACCCCTCATCAATAGGGGATATAGTAGCAAGGTAGGAGTAAAAGAATAGAACTGTGGCAGCATCCGGGGACATAGAAATCTGACGATCCTAGAAGTGTTGAATCCTGAAGAGTCTGATGGTGCATACAGCACTGGAATGGATCTAACATAGGGGTATGGGCTGCTGCAGATGTGAATATAACAGTTCCTGATCTTTTTAGGGAACATGCATCAGGTTATTTTAGATGACTATGGTCACTTTTAAAGGTTCAGTCAGATTATCTGCTAATTCATGAGATTTTCGTGGATCTGTTACTATTGTCTGCCTTGATTATAACTGTCTTGCACAATCTAAATAATTGTGGTGTCCATTTATGCCAATGGAAAATGCATCAGTTAGAACATGACACCCTTTCTAAGAATATGGCAAGGTGAAACTGTAACTGCTATGTAAATAGTTGGAACTGGATAAATCCAAGCAGTACAAGAAGCCAGCAGGTGTTATTCAGTAAGGCAGGGCCAAGAGCCATTAGGATATACAGAATGCGAAACTTAATAGTAAAATCAGAAGTTACTTCATTCAATTGTTAGGCAAGTTGCACTGCCGCTGGAACGAGCTGGTTCAGTATGGATGCGTGGAATTCAGTGACTTGTCTTTTACTACTGCTTAAAATAAAGTTTGATACATTTTTAATCGTGTCATGTAAACGAGTTGTAGTGAGCGTCTTTCGGACACTCTTTGTTCCTCGGTTTCAAGGCCTGTTTTTGCCATCACCTCTGGGACCTCCTGCATTCCAGCTGGATGCCATGCACTCTGAACATATTTAAGTATGCGTGTCACATCAGATATTGTGTAAAACTGCTGGTGAGATTCTCTTTAGGACGTTACAGCTGTGGCAATGGCAGTGATAAATGGGCTATTTTCCAAGTGTCTGCTTTAAAGTTCATGCTGGCTGGATATGAAGGCCACCTGTGTAGTTTTAAAGGGACAGGAATGCTTGGAAATATGAAATGTCCACTGGAATGTAACCTTCCTGTGAATGTTTAATTATATGTTCTCTTTGGTAGTTGGATTGTTAAGAAATTATGTTTGATTGCGATGAACTTTGTAGTTTGCACACATATATAGTATAGAAATGGTCTGTGATGCAACTCCTTCTTTTTTTTTTTTCCAACTAAACCTGTACTTTTTTAAAAAAAAAAAAGGCTTTAACTTGCTAGAATTAGTCCCGTTTCAAATTATTTATGTTTTTTTTTTTTTTTTTTCTTTTGCAGTTTTGACTACAAGATGCCTATCCTCAAGCAGTCCAGCTCTCACTCAAAGAAGCGAACACGCATAGATCGAGAGATGATCAGTGCCCCTTTAGGGGATTTTCGACACACTATGCATGTTGGTAGAGGTGGGGATGTGTTTGGAGATACATCTTTCCTCAGTAACCATGGCCCTGCCTCTGCTCCACCAGTGGAAGTACCAGCCGCTAAGAAAAATGGTCTCCTGAAACTGGCTGGAGATCACGATGATAATAAAACGGCTGACTCGCTAAGTCAGCTTTCTCAGTCCTCGGGAATAGGCTCTGGTGCAGGAAGCATTTCTTCTAGCCCTGTTAATCATGCACCATCTAAAGAAGACAGCCTATGGAATAGCAGTAATTCTGGAGGTCACTCAGATCAAGTAGATTGGCTTCCACTGGATTGTGGGCTAAAACATGCCGAATCTATGTTGTCCTTCCATCTTGATCTTGGCCCATCCATTTTGGATGATGTTTTGGGCGTTATGGACAGAGATGCTCACACCGCTGACTGGAACAGTCCTGATGACCAATGTGATTACAAATTTTCTGCAGACAGCAGTAAGCTTGCACAGCTGTCTTCCATCACAGAATCCCCAGGAAGCCATTACAGTCTCTCTACCACACTCCCTATTACAAACCCTAGCTTGGATTATAATGCAAGTGACATCTCTGAAAACCTGGAAGGAAACCGATCGGCCTATGAAGGGGATAGTGAAGAAGAAAAACGTTCTATATATGAAGGGGTTGCTGACAGTCCAGCACAAAATAACAGTTTTCACACTAGTCACTGTGAAGTGCTTGATGATGATGATGAGAGGAGGAGGAGGAGGAGGAAGTTGGCCAAGGATATACATTTGAAGATGATCTGGATGATGAGATTGGCGTATAGGAGTATAAACTATAATACATAAACTTTATGGACTTACTCACATGTTTCTTTGATAAACATGGTGGGGCACAGACCAACAGCTTCATTTGGTATAAATGTTATACATTGGACTTTATACAGAAAAAATTACTTTTTTTTTTTTTTTTTTTTTTAAATCGGACTATTCTAAAAGAATAATATACTTTGTACAGAGGCAATTTTCATTTTACCTGTTCCTCTTCTGAGAATTTAAGACCTCTAACTTTTCACAGCAGTAAGACAGACAGATATTCATAGATGTTAGCAGAAAAAAATAGATCTCAGTTCCCACTGGCTGAAGGAATTGAAATGTTTTGAACTTCTTGTTATATTATATAAAATGTAATTTATCTTGATGTTTCATGAATACAGAGATATTTTCCTTGTAAATGTTTTTGTTGAAAAAATCTCTCCAGTTATTGGTTAATATGTCTTAAAAGATTGTTGGAGAATTAGATTTTTACTCTCAAAATACCAACGCATCGCCTTTGTTTTTGGGATCCAGTGAAGGGCAACTTTTTCTTTTTTACAAAAAGGACTTGCACAAATCCGGAGAAATTATATTTTACAGCTATCGCTATTTTGATACCTACACATTGTAAATGATGGTACCAGTAGAGCAAAGCAAGAGCTTGGACTTTCACATCACAACAGTTGACACAAGATTTTTTTTTTTTTGTTTTGAAGGCAATAGGTTTGATTCACCACTTTTTTTAAATTGAATTTATTCACTTGTTGGATTACTGGTTTTTGCCACCTTGTGTTTTTGATGCTTGGAACACAATTTTTTAGGAGACACTTGGTAACCAGAGTAGTGTAATATGAAGAAAGTTTTTATTTCTTGTCCCTGGAATCAACTGTCTGGATTCATACTTTATCAAGCTCGTTACCTAGTTTCAACAAAAAAGTCCAAAACACTAATTTGATTATTTCATGCAAATAGGTCAATTCAAACATTGCTTTCAGTAATTTAAGCCGGCCATAGATGGTTTGAATCTGAACCTACTGAACCGGCTGAGATCCAATCTATCTATTGGCAGGCTGATTGTACTCAAGTCGATCGATTGGCTTGGGTACAACCAACATATCAGATTTTTAGAATGTGATTGTCAGTGGCTATAGCTGCTAGCAATAATCACTGTGTTTTCCCAGCAGGGACTGCTCCCCATGCAACCCAACCTGCCCCTGGGAGAACACAGTAGGTCCGTGGGGGGCTTCCTCAATCAACACTGACTATGTTGATAGGGGAATCAAGTGATTTTGTCTTGATACATCCTGTGCTATTTGGAAAGGTAATCGCATCATCCAAGGCCTGCCTAACCTGCACTTCATTGTGCAAGTGGTAAAATGCTTGTACAAGCATCATTGGCGCTACTTTGTTACAGAGAATTTCCAACCTGTTGGGAGAGCTCTGCAATTTTCAATACAATTTACCCTTTTATCCCAAGACGCAGAAGTGATCTTTTTACTACACCTGCATTAGAGTTCAGTTCAAGGTTAAAAATTGTAGTGTGTCCTGTAATGAGGTGGCCACAATTGCATCCCCCATCTTTATTCATAACAGATTTGTATATCTGCTCATCTTGGGATATACCATGGTTATCCTTAGATTGTACACAACAGATTTGGACATGAATTCCATTGAGTTGAGCAGAAGGGGTTTTTTTTTTTCTTTTTTTTTTTTTTTTTTTTTTTAGGAGTACCTCTGATTTTTTTTGGAAACAAATGTTATTACACATTAAACTTTTTTCCAAAATTGTTGATCACTTTATCGATAACTGGACGTTCCATTTTTTTTGTGGAGAACCAAGCTTTCTTGGCTTAAAAATGTGACATATTTTTGGTATGTGCAAGAGGTGTAGAGGTTTGGGCAGATGTTTCGTCACCCAGCATCCTTAATGAAACATCTTGCCACCTATGGCCATCCTAAACAGTAAGCCAAACTAGTAAATTCTCTGATATTCTGAGAACTGTTGGAAGGAGGTGTCTGCTTATGCATATAGATATGACAGTTGGCCAGAACAGACAAAAAAAAAATCATAGGTTCCTTATAGTGAATCTGTGATTTGACTATGCTGGGCAAAGTAACAGGGTCTCTTGAATGCCAGGCCTGCTTGCATGTTGTACTTATCTTCCCTACTGCTTTTGTTTTGCTTTTGGCCCTGTGCAAGCTTCAACTTGAACTAGTGGAAACAAACAGATATTGGCCACCCAGACACTCGGAAGTAGTTGCACGATCCACATACCCAAAAGTCTTTGCCCCAGGCTGCCAGATGAGGTGACAATTAGAAGGTGAGCATGTGCAGGGAAGGAAAATAGTGTACCAATTTTTTTGTATAGGGCATAGCAAAGGTTCACTTTGAAGGAATTTACTGCTAAGAAGCATTTTACAAAATGGAACGTGGTTTTATTTGTGGCAGCTCATCCCAGCAGGATGAATGGGCAATCTGTTGTAGATGGTTTTCTATAAGAGATGTTTGCATTGACTATTTTGTTGTAGCAGAACGGCAAAACTATTTGCTTTGCATTACAATATAGCTTTCTCTTCTGTGCGTTTGACAAAACGTTGAATAGGAGAACACAAAGAGAATGATGGACTGGCAGCCTGTAGCAATCTTAAGTAGTTCAGCTGGCAGTATATAGAGGAGATTCCATTTCATGCTATAGTCAATATTACTTTGCACACTACAGGTGTTTTCTTACAATGTGCACTCTTTCCCAGTCATAATTTTTTATCCTTTTTATTAGCCAAGTTCATGTTCTTTCTGAATTCTGCCTTAATGATATTTCTAAGTGAGCAGTTACATTGGTCAGTACGATCAGCTGCTAATTTTGGATTAATGTTTGTAATTCATTTCTATGAATATTCTCCTTCAGAGCCTCTGTATAAGAAAAAAAAATGCTTCACAAATATGTATTTCTTATGGTATATTCCTTTTTTAATAAAATATTTCTACTGCACTAAATTAGTTTGCAGTGGTTTCTACAATGATGTTGCAGTAGTTATCTAACATTTTAGTTATTTAATCTAGACCTGTTCTTTTAAAGGAACTGAAAGATTGAGGAGGCTTCCATAATAAATGCTCCTATTGAGAATGTTAGTTTTCTGGCTATCATGTTAGTTTTTGGCTTCAATACTGTCTGAGCTGCTGACCCAAAGTAGAGATAAGGAATTATGACATTCATTCAAGGTATGCTTATTTCAAACACAGACAACTAGCATTTTAAAAGACCATCAATGGTAGACCCTATAATCTTCACTTGACAGGGTCATTTTAAAGTGGTATTAAACCCAAAAACCAAAACGTATCAATTTGCAGCATACCAATTCTTAGATATGGTGCCTGCATTAATTCCCCCCCCCCCCCTTTATTTTCACCTATTGATCCAGCCAGCAAGTCTGGGTTTTTTTTTTTTTTTCAGATTAATTTTAACCAACCAAGCTGTCCAGACAAATTGGCAGTTGAAGGGCTGAAACAAACCATTTCCCACTGACGGGGGGTGCTTACAACAGTCAGCTTTTTATTCATTTTTGTAAAACATTTTTCCCAAAAGGAAAATAACTATTTGCTGCAACTGCTCATAAAGTGTTAGCTGGAGTTCAGTTTCAATTTGCTAGTCAAGTCCATCTAAATCTGCTAGTCTAATGCAGGTTGTACACTATGCGAAAAATCATTCAAAATGCATTAGAAAAACTAAATATTGTTTGGTAGAGCTCATGATACTACCATCGTATAGTGATCAAATTTTGAAAGATAAATCATTAATTGGGCATAAATTACCGTATTTTTCACTCCATAAGACGCACCTTACCATAAGATGCACCTAGGTTTTAGAGGAGAAAAACAAGAAAAAAAATATTCTGAACCAATGGACTGCGGACACAGTACAGGGGATGACCAGAGACTGCACACAGTACAGGGGATGACCAGAGACTGCGGACACAGTACAGGGGATGACCAGAGACTGCGGACACAGTACAGGGGATGACCAGAGACTGCGGACACAGTACAGGGGATGACCAGAGACTGCGGACACAGTACAGGGGATGACCAGAGACTGCGGACACAGTACAGGGGATGACCAGAGACTGCGGACACAGTACAGGGGATGACCAGAGACTGCGGACACAGTACAGGGGATGACCAGAGACTGCGGACACAGTACAGGGGATGCGGACCAGTACAGGGGACTGACTGCAGACCTTTGGGGAGGGAGGGGGAGCAGGTACCTGAATTTGACAGGTACCCACTCCCACTTCCGCGGAGTTGTCCTTTCTTCTTCCCGCGGCGGCTTCTGTGACAGCCGGGTGCCCACTGTGCATGCGCGAGAAGCGATGCACTTTGTGAATGACCCAGAGCCTTCTGGGACCTGTCATGTGTCCCAGAAGACACCGGACCATTCACAAAGCGCGGCGCTTCTTGCGCATGCGCAGTGGGCACCCGGCTGTCACAGATGCTGGCGCGGGAAGACTGCAGCGCTGGAGTGAGGAACTGGTAAGGTCTTGCAGGAGAGAAGAGCTGAACGGCCGGCCCAGTATTCTGACATGGTGGCGGCAGAAATACCGGACCGGCCGCTTTACATTCGCTCCATAAGATGCACTGACATTTTCCCCCCTTTTTTGGGGGGAACAAAGTGCGTCTTATGGAGCGAAAAATACGGTAATTGTTTTAGAGTTCGGTTTGTTCAAATTAAGAGTAAGTAATGAAATATATTTAGCCTCTCAACACATTTTTTCCATGTATGCCCACTTTTATGTGGAGGAACAGAAAAAAAAATTAAGACCTGCAATTAAGTTTTTTGCTAAAAGCCATTTTCTTTGTCTTTTTACTTTAATTTTAGTTTTTTTTTCCATAACTAAAATTAATTAGCTGGCAACCTGTGCTTGAGCATGTACTATGTACTCTGCTAGATGAATGTATCATTTATATTTATATATTTTTTTTAAGTTGTGTAGACAGATTGTTGATTCTGCATTGTATGTACATTCTAACAAAGTATTTTACTTTTAGGATAGCTGTTTTTTGCACATGAAAAATAAAGAAAAAAATTATTCGTGTGAAAGCCACTAACCCAGAGGTCTCCAATATTTTTAAGCAAAGGACCAGTTGACTGTCCTTCAGGCTTCAGGAGGGCTGAAATGTGGGAGTAGAAAATGCCCAAGCATCAGTGCCCCATCATTCGTTTTAATCGGTGGAATAATGCCCCATTGTTGGTATCAATCAGAAGCACAGTGCCCTATTGATGGTGTCAGTAGGTGGAATGGTGCCCCATCATTGGTGTTAGTGGGAGAAACTGTGCCCTAAGGGCCATCTAAAGGCCAGAAAAGGGCCACATCTGGACCGTGGCCTGCAGTTTGGAGACCAGTGCACTAACCTGTTAATTTTGTTAATTCAATAAAAAATGATAAAACTTTTCAAATCACTTTTTTGGCTCTGAAAAATTGAAAATGATTATCATTTTGCACCCACTAATTATTAGGAAATCGACCGAATGTTACAATCGATAGGATTTCATATGATTTTTTTCATATAGTGCATGGCCACCATGAAACTACCCTCTCTCCAGACTGACAGTGCTACTATACAAAAGGTGTCTGCTTTACTCATCCAGAATGTGGATGAGTATGTTCGCATTATGCCTGTTATCTGGTGACCATGTTTGTGCAACCACAGCAGCCCAAGCATTTGGGCTGATAATACCTACAGAAAACCCAGGAAAAAGGTCTCTGCGTTTTACAAAAATGCAGCTGCAGGAAAATCGCATAGTGATGTGTAGTTTCCAGTGTGTGAAGGAATTAATGGCTTGTCCAAGCATCTGCTAAACAGCAGTGCATATTACTGTGGGATTGCGTGCGATAATGTGCATTCAGGTGCCCACTCAGATGTGAGCCTAGCATAAGACAAGAAGTGTTACTGGCTGGATAACTAGGTAAAATAAAGAAAAAATCCTAAAAAAATAAAACTAATGCAGTCACCACATCAAAGGATAGGTAAGATGCACTATATTACTTTTGAGTTTAATACTGCTTTAAAGGTCAACTTCAGATGTCTGCGTAACACACCCTCTAGTGTTTATGCGTGTATTTTATATATACTAAATATTCATTCATTGGAAATGCCATCATTTTATTTATTACAGGTACTTGTATAACGCTGTCAATTTACGCAGAGCATATGTGTGTGTGTGTGTGTGTGTGTATATGTATGTATGTGTATATATATGTATGTATGTGTGTGTGTGTGTATGTATGTATGTATGCATGTATATATATATATATATATATATGTGTGTGTGTGTATATGTGTATATATATATATATATATATTCACATCAGTCCCTAACCCTCAAGGGGCATAAAATCTAAAGTCCCTAACTCCCACTCATACATACACATACTAGGGCCTATTTAGAAAGGCGCCAATTAACCTACCAGCATGTCTTTGGAGCGTGGGAGGAAACCGGAGTACCTGGAGGAAACTCATGCACACACGGAGAACATGCAAGCTCCAGGCAGGTGGTGCCATGGGGTTGGGATTAGAAAAAAATGACCCTAGTACTGCCAGGTGGAAGTGCTAACCATTTAGCCACTGTGCTGTCCATTTTCAGGGCTTTTTCAGAGCTGGCATAGTTTGTACTCCATATTGTCCTTAATTATTAACACACTGCCCTGCACGTGTGTTTGAATGAGGACTGACTATTGTCAAAGAGTAATATTGGTCTGCAGGTGCCACAGTGGAGTATTTGAGTTTTGCTGAGAGTTTTCCAGAAGAAACCCTGCATGGTATAGGACAGGGGTGGGCAACTGTGGCCCTCCAACTGTTGGTGAACTACAAGTCCCATCATGCCTCTGCCTTTGGGAGTCATGCTTGTAACTGTCAGTTTTGCAATGCCTCATGGGACTTGTAGTTCAACAGTTGGAGGGCCACAGTTGCCCACCCCTGGTATAGGTAGTAACCCTTTACTGGAGAACAGTACTTGGGACAAATATTACTTTGCTATTTTAGTTTGTAGCTCACCCTCATGAAATGGCTTGGATTAACAAGGTCCTCATATCTTCCACCAGTGGTGACACTCCAGTTAGTACCCAGAATAACCGACACACTAACTTAAGTAAAATTATATATTTTTTTCATTGGGCTGCAACCCTAAAGCCCCGTACACATGGACCGACTATTGTCCTGTTCAATAGACACCGCCCAACATTCGGCTTGTGCGTACACCTCCCTATCTGACAGAAACAGACTAAATGCGCATGCTGGAAAACAAGCAGTTGATCAGCATCCAATCCGTGCTGGCAGCCAATGGCTGCCAGTGTTGACCGGTGTGTTCTGGTGGGGGGGACAGGTCCCTTGTCCAGACACAATATCTCAGCGGGGAAGACGGGAGATCAACTGGTCCACTGTAGGGTCACAAGTTCAGAACAGGTGGCTAGTGAGAAGAATGGTGATCTACAAATCTCAAGAGCAGATACTCGGTAAACTTTCTTTTGGCTGTTTAAATTCTGTGGTACTTCCAGGAGTTGTCCCACAGTGCGTTGGTCCATTGATATAGTAATCGTATAGTCACATGTACTTTAGTAATATCAGACCTTGTCTCCTTACATGGACCAAAAGGAAATGGGCGACTGACAGTAGATGCAAATCCTCATCAGATTCACATAAACCGCATTAAGTTATTGTTTACTGGCACAATCGCATATAAATACTGTACAATGCAGGTTCTGAGAGCAGTGGCTATCGGAGTCAATGTGATCTCTTTTAATGTGAGCAGGGACTGAGGACTGTAACGGAACCGACTAAGTCTGCACTTAGGTACTTCTGTTCTAATACCACTTCCCCATCCGAACACTGACCACAGACACCACAGCCGACCAAACAAGACTAGATGACACCAATCTGTCTGAACATGGAACTCTTTATTTGAAACTTGAACTGGCTTTTTATATACACTCAGGGGACAAATCCCCCCCCTCCCTGCATAATGACACAGGGTGGGGCAATCTACACTTGGCAACAAGAGACACACACGTATTCAAGCTTCACCAGCAGACAGTCCCATCAAGAGGGAGGGCTGCTGGAGACACCCAGCCCCCGCCCCCCCCCCCCCAAACACACCACACACAGCTATTACACATACATCCCATAATAGTTTGCTCCCAAGCCAGACGAACAATGGGATGCAATCACATGGCATTAAACAATCACCCTGTACCCCTAACAGGCACAGGGTGATTTACACATAATAGGGATATGGGGAGCTGAGACGGGTCTCCCCACCTCTCCAAAGTCAACTGGGTTTTATGGGCCCCCCACCCAAAGTGACTCCCGTCACAAGAACAAATGGCACTAAAGGGCCACTTATACACTGTAGAAGCAGTTTTAAATGAAAATCATTTTGCAAAAATCCTTACTCTGCCTTTCTTCATTAGAACTCCAAAAACTGCTCAGTTCTCAGCTCCCTTCTGACTTATTGTTGTTACAGGTACTTGTATAGCGCTGCACATACAGTTGTGTTCAAAATAATAGCAGTCAGACATCACTAACCTGATCAATCACTGTTTTTGGTAGAAATGATATTTCTACATGGCAAATAATTTACTAGCAGGTGTAGTAGAGTAATAGAAATCCAACAGTCATGACATGCATGCTGCTGATTCTGTGTAATTGAATCACTAATTGAAAGGGGCATGTTCAAAATGATAGCTGTGTGGAGTTCTATTAGTGAGGTCATTCATTCTTTGAAAAACAGGTGCCAATTATTGCCCTTATTTAAGGAAGGAAGGCAGCAAATGTTGTACATACTGGTTACAGTGCATTTCTCTCTGAAATTCTGAGGAAAATGGGTCGTTCCAGACATTGTTCAGAAGAACAGCGTACCTTGATTAAAAAGATGATTGGAGGGAGGAAAACCTATAAAGAAGTGCAGAAAATGATAGGCTGGTCAGCTTAAATGGTCGCAAATGCTTTAAAATGGCAACCAAAACCTGAAAGACGTGGAAGAAAGCGAAAAATTAACCATTCGAATGGATAGAATAGCCAAAATGGCAAGGACTCAGCCAACAATCAGCTCCAGGAAGATCAAAGAAGGTCTAAAGTTACCTGTGAGTACTGTTACAATTAGAAGACGCCTATGTGAAGCCAAGCTGTCTGCAAGAAGCCCCCGCAAAGTCCCACTGTTGAAAAAAAGACGTGCTGAAGAGGTTACAATTTGCCAAAGAGCACATTGACTGGCCTAAAGAGAAATGGCGCCACATTTTGTGGACTGATGAAAGTAAGATTGTTCTTTTTGGGTCTAATGGCCGGAGACAGTTTGTCAGACGACCCCCAAACACTGAATTCAAGCCACAGTACACTGTGAAGACAGTGAAGCATGGTTGTGCAAGCATCATGATATGGGGATGTTTCTCATACTACGGTGTTGGGCCTATTTATCGCATACCAGGGATCATGGATCAGTTTGAATACATCAGAATACTTGAAGAGGTCATGCTGCCTTATGCTGAAGAGGAAATGCCCTTGAAATGGGTGTTCCGACCAGACAACGACCCCAAACACACCAGTAAATGTGCAACATCTTGGTTCCAGACCAACAAGATTGACGTTATGGAGTGGCCAGCCCAATCCCCAGATCTTAATCCAATAGAAAACTTGTGGGGTGACATCAAAAAACGCAGTTTCTGAGGCAAAACCAAGAAATAGAGAAGAACTGTGGATCGTAGTCCAATCATCCTGGGCTGGAATACCTGTTCACAGGAGCCAGAAGTTGCTTGACTCCATGCAACACAGATGTACAGCAGTTCTCAGAAACAGTGCTTATACAACTAAATATTAAGTGATTCAAAGGAAAGCAAAATCTTCAAACATTTTTCAGTTTATATAGTGAATGTTTGAGTTTGTAAAGAAGAATACAAACAGTTATTTTTTTGAACAGTCTAATATTCACTTTTCTTCAATGTATTTTTAGAGGAACAACACAAATTTGATATATTTTTCTGCATGTTTTGATTTGGAATAGAATGTGTAGTGTTCCCAATGCATTTGTGTGTATGAAAATAAAAGCTATTAGAAGGATTTTGAGCTTTATTCACTTTTTTCAACACACTGCTATTATTCTGAACACAACTGTATATATTGTACATTCACATCAGTCCCTAACCCTCAAGGGGTTTACAATCTAAGGTCCCTAACTTACATTCATAAATACTAGGGCCAATTTAGACAGGATCCTAATTACCCGGAGGAAATTCACACAGGCACAACATGCAAACTCCAGGCGGGTGGTGGGATTAAAACTAACAACACTAGTACTGCCAGGCGGAAGAGCTAACCATTTAGCCACCGTGCAACGCATTCTCTAAATGGTGCTCATGTCGAGTGGCCAACCTCCTGTGTTCACAATGCAGATCAACCACTTGGCATGGGACCTGGCAGAAAGTGGAGAGCACTAAAGTAGTGGTGTCTACTTCGGTGATTTCCAGCTCCAGGGGCATCAACCAGGTATGTCATATACTGTACATAGTTACATTGGTCTAAGCTGGACCACTGAAACTTCTGTATGTATAACATGCCGATTAATGAAATGATCCTTTAAGATAATTATTACTGCATGTTAGATCATTTTATTTATTCAATACAGGTACTTATATAGCGCTGTCAATTTATGCAGCGCTTTATTATTATTATAATACAGGATTTATATAGCGCCAACAGTGTGCTCAGCGCTTTACAATATAACAGGAGACAATATAGAAACAAAACAGTTCAATACAAGAGGGTTAGGAGGGCCCTGCTCCTTGGAGCTTACAATCTTTATTTATTTCAGATACTTGTATAGCGCCGTCAATTTACGCAGAGCTTTACATATATATTGTACATTCACATCAGTCCCTAACCCTCAAGGGGTGTACAATCTAAGGTCCCTAACTCACATTCATACATACACATAGTAGGGCCAATTTAGACAGGATCCAGTTAACCTACCAGCATGTCTTTGGAGTGTGGGAGGAAACAGGAGTACCCAGAGGAAACTCACATAGGCACAGGGAGAACATGCAAACTCCAGGCAGGTGGTGCCATGGTTGGGATTCGTGCCAACGACCCTAGTACTGCCAGGAGGCAATAGCAGGAATGAGTGATGGGTCCCTTAACCATTTGGAGAGGGGTAGGTGTAACTGTTATGTAACTGCCCAGAGTTGGGATTCAAGGTTATATGTTGTCACTGATAATGATGTTACTCTATGACAGCTTGACAAATGACACTGAATTTTCCCCTCCCTGTTTTGGTATTTATTTGATGTTTCACGCATTGAACCTGTATATTCTGTGTATCTAATTTACTCAGTGTGGAATTTCACGAGTCAAAACTAATACAAATAGTACTTTGTATGGCTTTATGTTTCAGGAGACAGGGCCTGTGATCGATAGGGAGCAGAATGGTTAAGCTGTATGCCATGACCAGATTCCTCCAGGGTCAGGAATTCCTGGCTTAAAGGATAAGGCTAAAATGCTGCCTCTGCCTCTAATCTCTGTCCATTCTAAGCCTATGGCTGGACAAGTCATTATTTATGGTGGAGGTCAATGTCTGACATTCACCTTTTAAATGATGTGAGGTGTAAATAAAACCGGTCACTCCTGTGGAACAGCTCCAAAATCTCAACATATCTTTCCTGTTTCCATCCCAGAAAGAAAGGGTGACACCTGGTTGTTACAAAAGTAAGAGTTCTATTACTTTTTTTTTCCTCATTAAGCTTAGGACACACAAAAGGATGAACATTTTGTGATCACAAGCAGCTCTCTGCAGCTAAAGAACTGCCCTCCTCTAATCCAACCACATAGTGTGGCTGTGTGTCTTCTTTAGAGACCTTAAAGGAGAAGAGTGGAATTGAAAAATAATCATATTCACCGAGGTGGATACAGAATTGGTCCAGTGCTACATCTGTCCCCTGCCT